GCATTATCCAGTCTACTGCAATCAAGAAAATCATTGGCGATAGTAGGCAGCCTTGTCTTACTCCTGTCCTCACTTCGAAGGGTTCTGTAAGTTTTCCACACACACACTCTAATGTGTGTGTGTGAGTGTGAATAAGGACTAATGATGTTACATGCCTGTCAAAACCTCGGCACCTGGAGAGGGATTCGAACCTGTGATCCACTAATAGTTGAAAGTTGAGCGCCTAAACCAATGACCCACAGTCGCTGCACACGTTTAGAAAAGATGAAAATTACAGACTGAAATGTAGTCAGTCTCAGCGGATTGCATTATAAAGTAAGATACAGTGAACTAGATTTTAGAATAGGCTACAAAAGAAATATCATTGCAACCACCACCACCACCATCACATTTATTCTGACAGATCACAAATAATCCTAAAGATAATGAAAAACATATCTTTTCAAGTATCGGTTTGTAGGCATGTGATTGATTGGTTATAGGATTTCATCATGAGTTGACATCAGTTAGAGAACCATTGGAAAACCTGCGGGGAGTACTGAACAGCCAGGTGTTTCGTCACAGTTTGGAACTCCTCATCAGTACGCACCCACCACAGGAGGTTCAAATCCAGGACCTTCTGATTACAAGGCGAGTGAGGTCGTAGACCATTAAGCCACTGGGACACGATCTAATGATCAGCCCATGAATTCCAACTTCTGCCAATTCACGACATAGCACGACCACTGGCCGATGTCTTCGGTGAGCATTTGTCCTCACATCCGACCTGCTGCACCCTACTGGTCACGACTTTCCACCAGAACCCCAGGTAACTACCTACCTACCTGAATAGGGCCATCCACTAGTGAACATTTCATTGATCTTCAGGTATTGGTTTGTAGGGATTTGATTGACTGGTTACAGAATTTCATCATAAGCTAACATCAGTTATCAGTATAATGAAACATAGAAAATCAATCAGAACAGAACAAAATAACAGTTTGACGTTTTACAAGGAGATAAACAATGACTGAACTGAGCTTTCAACGTAGAACTTTCTTTGCATTAAACAGTGGTAATTCAAGTTATCACACTTTACAGAAAGCAGATGTCGAAATAAAGAAATTCGAAAAACAAAATTTATAATAAACGGAATTTTACAGTAGAAACAATATTAACATTAAGAATACTGAAGATTTAATGAATTTGAGAGATTTCAAGGTGTGAATGCATCTACACACCAGTAGTGACAGCGGTTTTCAACCATTTCACCAACTGTATCCAGTTATTGATTCTTAGTGTTTTAAGGATCCCAGTGGGTCAGCTAAAAACTGCTAATGTGGATTAATCCAACAGTCAAAGAACCCATGACTAGTTCCAACGTAGAACTTTGCACAGATGTGCGAAAGTTCGAGACACCATACTTCACTCAGCACACAAAGCAAGAGAAGAAATGCAAAACAGAGAGAGTAAACAGATATATGAGGCAAAAAGAATAGTAATATCGAAGAACAATATAGTTTTATTGGGAATTATAAGTCACGAGAAGTGGATGCATCTGCACGAGCCATTGAGAACGATTTTGAACCATATCACCAATTGTCTACAGCCTTCATTGGTGTTTACCGTCCCGAGGACCCCAACCAGTCAGGAAGTCTACCCCTTCCTACGTGACTTAAACTAACTGTTGTGGATTTCATTGGCTGATTTCACCACTGGTTCTTTTCCAACCTGATCCATCCTATGTCAGCTAACATTGCCCGTCAAGCAAGGCGATGGCTAATCATGCGTAACACGTGTCCTAACCGTCTCAATCGGTCTAACTCCACAGCCTCGTTGATTGATTTCTCCTCCTTACCTAGCACTCCACGCCTAACCTCATTATTGCTCACCATATTATACCACTTCACAAGGAAGATGGAACGCAGACACCTATGATCAAAGACAGCCAGCCTTACCATGTCTTCTACTTTCAATGGCCAGGTCTCACAGTCATAAAGGAGGACGGGGAGGACTTCTGAGCAGCACACCCGCCCTTTGGTCGACAGCCAACTGGAAATCACGTCTAGGCCAGAGACGGCGTAAACTGGCATATGCGGAACTAGCCTTCTGTATTCCAGCTGAGATTTCGTCAGTGATCAACCCATTAGCACTGGCTAATGCAACTTCCCAAATAAGTGAAGTGGTCCACGTGCTCTACCACTTCACTGCCTATTTCTCAGCTAAGGATCAATGTAGTCCAGTCCTGTAACATCATCTTACATGGATTATTGCCAAGTTTTGGTTTAACTACCCTAACAATAAACACATGCACACTTATTGGTTTTTTATTGGATGATTATGTTCTTTTAATCAAAATTTCATAATACCGGTCACACAGATCTTGAAATCAAATAGACTACGAAGCTTTAGAATAATCCTGAAGTTCCAAGTGTGTTATACTTCTGATCATGTGAAAACAATTTCTAAGGATTACATAAATCGCCTACTAGAATACCTCCATTAATAGTAAGAAATATTTCACCAAAGTAAACAAAATGTCACCTGACCCCATAATAAGTGAATAATTAACTGGAAAAGATTTTTACATCTTAACGATTCAAACGAACACTGAAACAATTGGCTACACACCGTAGTAAGTGGTGATCTTACACAAATGAACTTATTCATTATGACACTGTGCCACAGTTAAGTAGATCTTTACACTGTACCGTTAATAGATGTCTGTCAGATGACAACTTCGTTACATCAATAAAGAAATAAAATTTTAAAAAATTAGACTATAAATAAAGAAAGTAACACTAAGGTCAGTGAAAGAAAGTGATCAATTATTTGAATATCTTTTTAGAGATACAAAACCTAACTTGACCACACATTCATATAGGCAATATGAATACAACTATTATGCTATATGTGACTACAGAGTAACTTAACACTCTGTCAGTCAGAATTTAAATTGTACAAATATTGATTTTCAAGAGTTAATTTGTAGGGATTTGATTTGTTTCAAGTTTGATCACGGATTGGTGTCAGTTAGAAAAACGTTGAAAACATCCCATGAAATACTGGATATGTGTTTCGTCCTAGTGCGACACTCTTCAACAATACGCACCCATGAACCCCAAAGTGAGGGATTGAACCCAGGACCTTCAGCCACTTGGGCCGGACAAATCAAATTCCACCATGTTGATAGCCGCTTATTAATCAGCCCGATATTGAAGCATGTAATTAGTTTGATTGGGTGGAGGCTCTCATCATGAGCTGACATCAGTTAGAGAACCATTGGAAAACCTGCAGGGGGTACTGGACAGCCAGCTGTTTCATCCTAGCTTGAGACTCTTCATCAGTACGCAACCGCCGTTAGGGTTCAAACCCAGGACTTTCTGGTTACAAGGCGAGACAGCTCGTAGACCATTAAGGCCACTGGGAGCCCATCCAATGGCCCATGAATTCTAAAAAAACCAATACTTGAAGATATAATTAGTTCACAATACTTTTTTCTTTGACTACAGTAACGATATATTTGTAATTACAGTACCTCTGACTCGCTTGTCTGGATGTACACGTTTCCAATATTGATATGTGAGTCTCCTTAAAATTACCAGTTTCGCGTCAGGTCTGAGGAAATCTACCAGAGAATTATCAAGCGTGCATTATTGTTAATTTCATTTGTGTGGAGATCCAGTAAACATAACGGCACTATGTCCAAAGTTTACAACAGCAGTACAATGGCTTTAACCTCAACTAAGAAGTACCCATTAAAAAAATGCTAGTTATGATGTAATAGTGCACGTGAATTAGAATACATGAAAATCAGTAAAAAGTCATAAAGTTGAGCTTATAGGGTTACTTGAAATAAGTTTATTTAGTGTAGAATTATTTTTAACTTAACAACTGTTATCTTTAGATTAAAAATATTGAATAAAAGCAACAAGTGAACATTTGTATAATATATATATACACATATAATGTTAATTAAATAGCTGTGAAATCTAAGACGCGCATCTCAATCTATTTGGGGTCGTCAGCTGTGAGTGGTGCTGAGAATAGAATTCAGCACTAATAGTTTCGCACGCCAAATCATTATCCATTGAGGAGGAGGGTAACCCGGATGACGAGTCCCAAACAGGCCGAAACATGCCTATAGCCTAGTACTACGTAATTGAGATATACCTAACTAACTAATCAATGGTAAATTCAAAAGCTACACATTATTTTGTACACACAGTTCTACGTCAGAATTAGCTAAACAGTTCCTTAGTAAAACGAAACGTAAGCAGAAGGAGTTTTGTATTTTACAGTTACACACAAAGCAGTAGAAAATGCAATCTTGAATAAAGAAAAATACAAAGTCCAACCGACCCCAGTTTATATTTTTTCATACATATAAATGAATACAGCAGAATGGATATCTCCATGATCCAGTATCACCTAGAAAACCATTTTATCGATATCATGATGACACTGGATAGTGTTAGCAATAGACCTAACATAAACACAAGTCAAAAAACAATGTCTTGTGAATTCTTATTATTATCATAACGTAATAATCGGATAGTACAGTACTTGCTTGACATTTTTCGACTCAGTTCCATGTAGATGAACACTGCTAAAGAGTCTCAAAGGTGAAAATCAAACAACTTTTCAGGGCTGCTCAATTCTCTAAGCAACGCTTTTCATTCCTTTGCATTCTGACTGCTAGAATCTTTGAAATTTCAGTGGTGCTTGTGTTTTTAAGTGGTGAGGCTGGGTAACCTCACGACCAAACATTCCTCTATTCCAGCTTACCACCGGCTAGAAGACGTTTAGGAGTGCATCGACAATGAGCTTGGCTGACAGGCATTCTACTCCTGGACCATTGAAACACTTAAGAAAACCTACTGCATCATGAAATATACCACTGTAATCAACTGGATTCGCATGTATGAAGAAGACAATTAAAATCGATAATTTATTATAAGAATTTAATTCGTATGAAATACTCTGGACGGAGAAAACGTTTACAGTAGTATAATGCTTACCAACATGTGTATATTCCGACAGAAATACAATAAAGAATGGGGTTAGCAGATCATTGATACCTTGAACATAACCACTTCCAGGATGTCGCATTGACCAAACAAATAATATTCTTTCAAACATCTTTATCATTACGATATATATATGAAAGGTGAGAAAGATAGGGAGGATAAGGAATACAACCAGTATACTAAAAATCACTTAGAGAAGAAAACAAACTTATACATATTAGTTTACAACACTAGATATCAAACACAACCATTGAAAGTGGGACAAGTGAAAAGGTTAGCTGTTTTTTGATCATGAGTATTTGTATTCTATCTCCCATGTTAAAAGGCGTAATGTGTTGAGCAATATAGAAGTTAGGCGTAGAGTGCTGGGTAAAGAGGGAAACTCAGTACATAAAGTTGTCAAACCAAATCGATTGAAATGTCTAGGACACGTGTTACACACACTAAGCCACTGTCTTCCTCAACGAGTAACGTTAGCTGACATCAGATTAGGTTAGAATAAACTTATGAGTGGCAAAACCAATACCTGACATCTGTCTATAAAGTCTTTGACAGCTGGTGCAAGCCAGTCACGTGGAGAGATGTAGACTGTCTGTTTCAGGTCCTTGGGATTCTAATAGTCAATGGCTGGAGACTGTTCGTGATATGGCTCAAAATCGTTCTCATTGGGCGCATATGCATTCACTCCCTGAGATCCTACATATCCACTGAACTGTCATGTTTTCCCATGTTACTATTCTTTCTTCCCCACACACTGCTGATCGATACCTAGTACCTTGACGAAGTGGTTGGACTTGCATATCGAAATGAATTACCAGGCTATACTGGCTGGAGCTAATGTTTATGCAGGTACTACCATGCCAGAAAAGTTGCTATGATAGCGATTAGACTAAAAGCAGTTACCGGCATAATGTAGGATGTTTGCACTATGCTGGGGTTCTGTAGGCAAAGTCGTACTGCCGGGGAACAGGAGTGTAACGGCAGTTTCCCCATTAGATGACCAGCAAGCTAGCTATGCTAGCTCTCCACTGAGCGGATGCTGGGTCAGAATAGGTCGACCAAGAATATTCTAGATCCCAACTTATCTTGAGGCGGTTCGTAACTGGAGGTAAGATTATGATAATGATATAACTCAAAAAACCACTACAAACATGTTGTGTGTGCCTGGCCTCAATCAGATGTTCCCTGGGATCTGGAGTTAGATACTCAAGAAAGAAATCGACTTTCACGTTGTGGGCGATCGAGGAGTAATAACCACGCACACACTTCACATAAGCACACAAAACTTTCCTGATCATCACTAAAACTAAGTTACATATCGCATCATCAGAAAAAAACTAACGGACTCTAAGTATTTAGTAACATAAATATTGCATTGCGGAATATATTCCAGCTTTTCGATTTATTTTGTGTTTCTTTAACCTCACATCACTCGCCAAGGAAGGTGGTGAATAAACACGAATAACACATGTTTTAGTTACCTCAGTCAGTAAAGTTTCATTATCTAATAGTATAACCCATCGCCCTTATGTGTAACACTACAGTCTCCATATTGTCATACCTGACCTGACATGGGGAAAGAAACAAAAGCACTAATGATTGCAAGCTTCTAGTCTTATCGTATTCTGAACCTTCAGCAGCGATAACTCAACAAATTCTGAACACTAGATATTTGTTTCCAGTTAGACCACTGGTTGATATCAGTTAGAGAACCAGTGAAAACAAGGGATTATTGGACAGCTGTTTCACCCAAGTTTGGGACTCTTCGTCAGTACGCACCCACCATCGGGAGTCAAACCCAGGACCTTCCGGTTACAAGGTGAACTAGTAGACCATTTGGCCATTAGGAGTCAATGGCCAGCCCATGAATTCTAACTTATACCAATAAGTGATTTTAGCGCAACCAACACCAGTCAACTTCATCGGCGAGTATTTGTCCTCACTCCCAACCGGATACACCACACTGGTCACAACTTCTCACTAGAACTCCAGGCAACTTCATCCTGTAGCCAGTCGCTAGCAAGCATCAGATTAATTTTCAAGAGTTAGTTTGTAGCGATTTAGTTTGTCTCAAATTGAACTTGAAAATTAATGTGATGCTGGCTAATGACTGGCTAGAGGACGACGTTGCCTGGAATTCTAGTGAGAAGCAGTGACCAGTGGGGTCCATCAGGTTGCGAGTGAGGAAATATACTCGCCGATGATATTGGTTAGCAGTGACGCTAAACACCGCGAACTGAAGGAAGCTAGAATTCATCGGTGGGCTATTGAATTCCTGCCCAAATGGCTAAATGCTCAACGGGCTTGGCCTCGTAAAATGAAGGTCTTGGGTTTAATCCTTGGCGAAGAAGTTCTCTAACTAATATCAATATTGCATGGAGGATTTCATCTTAAGCTGACTTCAGTTAGAGAACCACTGGAAAACCTGGGAGTACTGGACAGCTGTTTCGTCCTAGTTTGGGACTCTTCGGCAGTACGCACCCACCGGGATTCGAACCCAGGACCTTCTGGTTACAAGGCAGAAGTTAGAATTCAAGGACCATTGGATCGGGTCCCAGTGGCTCAATGGTCTACGAGGTCGCCTTGTAATCAGAAGGTCCTGGGTTCGAATCCCGGTGGGTGCGTACTGATGAAGAGTCCCAAACTAGGACGAAACAGCTGTCCAGTACTTCCAGGTTTTCCAGTGGTTCTCTAACTGATGTCAGCTCGTGATGAAATCCTCCATGCAATCAAACAAAAATCCCTACAAAACCAATACTTGATAATATAAATATGTGACAACTCTTTTTTTTCAAAAAGAGGACATATTCACTATCAGAATTTAAAGCTAATGACTGTTATTATCCAAAGCACTGAGAATATTAATTCTTCAGAAAGAGAGGAAAAAGCCTCACAAAATAATTACTTACAGCAACCATTTCAGGTCGACGGTAGAGTAGCGTCATTCTAGTTAAATCTTTTTGAATTTGATGAAACATTGGTTTATGCTTGGGATTTTCACGTAAATGAAAATATTGACTAACAAATAGAGAATATTGTTTACGCTTATCCGATAGTACAGTTACACGACGGTCAGGACTAGTCGGAAGATAATCCTAATAATAAAAAAATTGAAAATAACAACAACACATGGAGATTATACTGTTTTTTTTTAAATTATTTCTAATAATCAGTAAAAAAAAGTTGAGTCTTTACAACAATTGTACAGTTTCCAAAATTGAGTAGTTAGTTACCCATCAAGTATGTTTCCTTACATTGGACAGTCTATTGATTCACTCAGAGTATCTGGAACTGTGAGACAATAAATATCTTTAAGAAAATGTATTACATAATGCAGTATGTAGTCCGTCGGTGGTTCAGTAACAGAACGCTTACCAAACACACGCACACACACACGTGGTCCGGGTTCGATCCCCGGTCGACACACTCCTAAAACCCCGCTTAGATTGGTAGTCATTCGTGTGAAGATGGAAGGCTGACAGTGAGGCTAGAAACCCCATCCCGTAGTAAAAACCATCAGACTTGAAGCACTCATAGCCCACTAGGAAGTCAGAATTACGTAATAATTGTGACAAGTCAATCTAAATGGGTAAAAGCTAATGGAACTATGGCAAAGTGTTTATATAAAATCTGTATCAGAAACTCAACATTATTAACGAACAATAATAATGACAACTATTAAAAAATCATATTAAAATAAAACATCAAACAATTATGGTAAGAATGTTACTCTGGCTATAGTATGGCGACTGAATGTCTGTAATTCTATTGAACAAAGAGGCGCATACGAAGTCATTTCGTAAGACATTGGGGGAATTGTGTGCAGCTAGCTCATGGGGGACCTAAGACAGGACTTCTGTGTGGAAAAGCACCACAGACACCCATTCGCCTTACCGTAACCAAGAGCAACATTCTTGCAATCATTTTGTTTTAGTTTATGGCTATCATTACTATTATTGGTTATTTAATAACATTGCATTTCTCACAGAGATTTTATACAAACACTTAACTATATTTCTATTCGGTTTTGTCCAATTTGTACACTTACACTGATTAGTTATTCATCACACTTATTATGTAATTCTAGTTTCCGCTGTTTTACTCTCCATTTATCCATCCCTTCCTAGATTAGGTAATACTTTCTCTAGAGAATAAAAAATATCAATATCTTAATAATAATAATAATAATAATAATAATAATAATAATAATGGCTTTATTCCAAACAGTATTTGTGGTACAGGTATGGAATTTTCAGCGTTCATTACAATATTGCATCTAATTACCTCATAAATTTTATAAGGATTTAGAAATATAAAGCAACAACAACAAAAAGAAAAAGAGAAATAAAAGAAAAAAAATAGAACAGCATTGCATTCACATATTTAAACAATGCACCACAGGATATGATATATAAAATTAGTCTGTAATAGAATATATGAGCAACAATATAATAGTAACAAAGAAAGGAGAACAAAAGCTAATGGGAACTATTTGTTAGAGTGCCGCAGTAAATTGATCATGTCATGCCTAACAGTTTTCTCATCACATAACAGCTGTGCCAGATAGGGTATTGTGGAGTTTTTATACTTGGTAGTCCTGGCATATAGCTTCCTATAGTTGCTTCTAGTTCTACCAGATGAAATGCAAGGAGAGAGCTGCGTATGGAGAGGGTGTTCGGGGTCTGACAATATAGAATTTGCTAGTTTCTTACATGACATTATATGTCTATCCACAATTGTGTTAACCAGTTGGTTTAACGAAATCCCACTTGCCCTACTAACAGCTTTTAGTGCCCTATGCAGCGAAGCAAAGTCTTTCTTAAGTAGTCCAGGAAAGATTAATGGGGAGCAGTAAAGAGGGATGGGTAGAATACAGGAATTGACAAACTGAGAAAGTAAAGACTGCTTTATACCAGACTGCCTAAACTTCCTTAGGTAGAACGTTAAGCGAAACATCTTTCTAGTCACTAGCAAGATGTGAGAGGACCAGGAAAGATCGGAGGAAATACTCAGTCCAAGGTACTTGACATCAGATGTAGTTTCAACCTCTATGCCGTCAATGATAGTGGGACCATGTGAGCTAGCTAGTTGTTGACCGGTTTTACGAATTCTTTGTATAAATACGACTGTACAGTTCTTGGAAAGAAATATCTTTTACAACCAAGTGTTAAAAGAACTCAGTTATGTGGCAACAGGCTATGAACCACGCTTATTATTTAATGAGGGCTGCTGATATTATCCAGATATTACCCGCAGACTGAAGTATATGTAGCAATATTTGAACCCTGAAGCTATTGGGTGTTGGGATATGTAAATGAGTGTGTCGTAGTTGTTTTATTAATTTGTTTATTTGTTTTCAGTTGAAGATTTCAGTACACCTATACTTAAATTACTGATGACATCCTCATGTATAGGGTAACTGAGTAAAAGAAACAAAATAAGTACTACAAAGTTCATCCATTTTGTAATAATAAGAGCGGAGAAATAAGCTCATTGGCTTGAGCACTCGACTATGGGATAATAGCACTCGGGTTCGAATGCTGCTCCACCTACTTCAGTCTGGAAAACTGGGTAGCATCACCAACGCTAACGCGGTAATCGTAGGTCAGTGAATCAGCAACAAGAAAGTCTGGGAAAAAACCAATCAAGAACCTATTACTCAACAAATATCTTAGAGAAAATGGACATGATTCAGACAAACGCTGAGATCGTCGAATGACATCGCGCATCAGATCAGCCATCCAGTGGAACCCGAATGGAAAACAACGAGTTGGGAGTTGGTCCGAGGGTGACATGGAGGAGATCGTGTGAGTTGGAGGAGCAGAGAGACTATGGGAAGTCGTCGGGCCAGCTAAAGATGACCACACAAGACAGAACGAAGTGGAGATGTGCTGTTGAAGCTATATGATCCACTCGGAACCCAAGAAGACAATAATAACAGTAATAGTTTGTTACATAAGAATTCAGTTTCAATTAACTGAGGTCTAGCAACGACTTGGGTTTTGTAATATTTAGTAACCTGTCAGTGGAAAATGAACGCAAAAGAAATGTTTTAAAACAAATGGCATAACTTTTAACATGCAATTCAGGCTAAGGATGTATGTTGTCACTCGGAGACACAAATGCGAGACCCAATAGTGGATACAAGCTGTAAAGTCTCAGCAGCAGCGGTATTGCTTCTTACGAGGTAGAGTTGTTAACCTGAGGTCCGTACCTTCCCTCGCTCTCCAGGTTTACTACTGGAGGTTTATGAGTGCGCCTGTCCAGAACCGAAGATGCAGCTCACGCGTGACTAGCAATCATCTTACCAATGAACCACCGAATCTACCAAATTCAGCTTATGAGTGTCAGGAGATTATTCAGCTAGCTAGTGTAAATTTGGTGGTGTAGGGTTAGCGTTGAGCTCGAGATCAGAAAGCTCCCCACTTGATTAAATCCCAATGGACAGCTGTATATTATGTCATCCAGCTGAACAGATCTCTGGAAGACTGCAACACCTGTGGATGCATTTTCACAATCTCCACCTACACATCAACCAACTGCAGTTTGGAATAAAGAAAGGATGAGTTTTATCAAAAAAAAGGTGTCTAATTTTGGCTAAAACCTAAACACTCATATATATAGTCATTTTAGCAGGCTGTTTTAATGCTGAAGTTTTCCGTTCGAAAAGCATATATTGGTAACAACTATGCAGTCACTATGTCAACAAACCGATAACAATGATCGTCTACTACAGTAACATTCAAGTAAACTAGTCCGTTAAAACTACAAGTATGCCTTAGCATTATGTATGGCATAACTTGGAATTCGTTGGCTATTGGATCGGGCACCACTGGCTGACTGCTCTACGAGCTTTCCTTGTAACCAGGTCATCGGTTTGAACCCTGATAGGGATGAATACTGATGAAGAGTCCGGGACTAGGACGAAACGGCTGTCCAGTACTCTCACGTTTTCCATTGATTCTCTAACTGATGTCAACTCATGATTACACTTGCAACATTATCTATGTAACCATTAGATCACATTTCCACGTGACTTCTTCATTTAATATATTAAGACAACTGTAAGAAGGGAATTAAACTTCCTTGAAACCAATAGGTGCATACCACGAAGTTCAAAATAATGACAAGAGCTACACACACACACAACACTGCTTAACACCAAGTGACCACTAAAAGTATCCATAACAGTCCTACAGGAGGTCAATCGTGAGCCCGAATAACCCAGTGGCAGCACTGCCTGACGCTGGGGTTCAAACACCAGAGGGAACAAGAGCACTTTCGAGATCGCAGATACGCCTTCCTGACGACGAGTGCCAACAAGCACGAAACCTAGGTCCAAAGTTTCCTACTGATTGCTTCCAACCATCTAATATAAAAACACTTCAAAGAAATCTATCAAGAAAGCAAAAATATTAATAGATCACCACCATTTTTTAATTAGTAGTAACAAAGACATAAAGAATGTAAACAACACAACAGATTGTTTGGTCACACATAAAGTAACAGGCTAATTGTGTACACCTCTCGTATATACTATTGCAATAAACAAAATCAATATAACCTTGAGGGGTGAAAACACGATTCCTTCACATTTTTGAGCATTCAAACTAACTAGGTCACATAACAAACAAAAATAAATCTGTAATTATTAAATTCTGTGACTTTGTCTAAAAGTACATTTACTCTCAGTGCAGAATGCCATCTGTTTAAAAAAATTCAGAAGAAAAGACATTGAAATGAATGAAACAAATAAAAAATGGAGAGTAGTGAAGGTGTGAAGTATAAATTTCTCATATATAACAGTGTAAATGTAACTGATACCAAGCGCAGATTTTCTCTTAACGAAGCGTAACACTCTCAAGTATCAAGAACGAAATTCAACACCAATGTCAAGTCAGTCAGTTTTTCTATATTGGTCGGAAACTTGGCTTGCGTGTAACGGAAAGCATTTCCAACAGCTCGTTGCTGACTGTTATCGACAACTACCTTTGCTTCATACTGAAAATCAGATGGCCGGTCAAAGGTGATTACCAACAAGAAAGTCTGGGAACAAGTCAATCAAGAACTGATTGCTCAACAAATACCTCAAAGAAAATGGAGACAGACCAGATATATGCTGGCGCCCAGTGTAACTCGAATTGGAAACGACGGGTTGGGGGACGTTGGTCCCACAGTGAGGAGGAGGAGATCGTGTGAGTAGGAGGAGATGAGAGAATATGGGCAATCGTGTGGCCAGCTAAAGAGGACCACAGAGAACAGAACAAAATGGAGACGTGCTGTTGAAGCCCTTGTCCCACTCGGAACCCAAGCGAACAATAATAATAGTAAGCGGAACACTTGCTAGCATTCTGTACATTAGGAAGACTGAGTAACTATTAATATTCATTCCTAGCGCATCGAGTGGAACATAGCCCTTCGGTGACATCTCTCCATTGCACTCGCTTCTCTGCCATCATCATTTCCAGCTGGATCCACAAATGCCAACGTGCTATCATTTCCTCCTACACATCATCTCTATATCACCATCGGACTAACACCCAACTCGTCAATTCCCACTCGACTGAGTGGTGCCTGATTTCACCCAACGATCTTCTCAACGTATGCACAATTCATCTCCATTTACATCGTAACGGAATAATTGTTTGGAAAATACCTCCTAAACGGTCTAATTATAGTATTTATGCTTATTTGGATGTTTCAACTAATGTTGTAATTAGTACGCCTTCTTCTCCTAGACTGTATAGCATTATTCTAACACTTGCATATCATATGTTCACTTGATCCTTATTGTTTATATTTGTCCCTGTATAATCTCTAATTTTAATGCTTGTCTTAGTGGTTGTGTGACACATTGATAATGTGTTGCTTTACGATGTGATTTCGTTTGAATGAATCAAAGTCATTCTGACCTTGGAGTATCTGAGGGATGTGTGTGATTCTTGTGGACAGAGTTTTCGATCCCACCTTGTTGGAAATATTCTACATGATTCCAAGGTAATTCTTACAACTGAATTTTGGTTAATTAATTTTGTTCTACTAGATACTAATTCTAGAAACGCTTTTCGTGACGCGCCAAGATTCTAACCAATGTAGAAGAACTGGTTGACTTGTCACTGGTGTTGAAAATCCGAATTTCGTTTTTCAAGTCGAGTGCAGATTTTCAAACTGATTTCAGAGTGTTGAAGGCGTACCTTGCCTTTTCGACCCTGGTTGGTTTTGACATCTTCATCCCTTCGGCCTGTAGTTGAATCAAGGCTTCTTGAAGAAGCCCAGATGCATACGAAAGTGCAATCTCTCGCCAAATCCCAAATCCCGTTATAATTCTGTCTCCTACACCTGTAGTAACGAACACGTTTTATTCTCGTTAATTTTTTCACCAAAACTAATAAGACCACCTAACACTCCGCTTTTCTACCCCTAACAGCTAAGTTGTAGTATGCCATAGGTGACGAGTAGAATGCTCGCCAACCATGCACACGTGGTCTGGGGTTCGATGCCCATCCAGAGCATATCTTTACCTTCTTTAACCGGTTATTAACCCAGCAAAAATGGAAGGTTTAACGTGAGGCTAGAAACCACATCCCGTAAAAAAACATAACTGCTACTGAAACTACAAAGCTAAAGTTTGAAGCCTTATGTTCCACTCAGGAAGCAAAGGAACAAAAAGAGCAGTTATGGATTGTTCAAATTAACTTCAGTTTTTCGTTCATACACATAAACAGGTGCTAGTTGTACCGCACACAAAAGAACTTAATTCGACGTCATGTATGTAATGATGTCCTCACGTGTTAATTGGGATGATATGGTGAGTAGTATTGAGGTTCGAAGTAAAGTGTTAGTTATAAAGGGTAAGTCAATTCATCAGATTGTGAAGCTAAATCGACTCATATGGATAGGATACGCGTTGCGTCATCCTCGATGAGCAATGTTAGCCAACACAAGATTAGGTTTGAAAAGGGTTAGGAGTGATCAAACAAAATCTAAAATCCGTCTTGTGAAGTCTTTGACTGTCGGTATGCACTAGGCACGTAAGGGACTGTAGACTGACTGAATGAGATTTTCAAGATGCTAAGAGTCAATGGCTTGGCTTGAGACTGTTGGTAGTATCGCTTAAAACCATTCTCAACGGTCCACATGCATTCACTCTTCGTAATCTTCTAGATTTATTAGTTTCTCATGTTTTCAATGCTACTATCCTTTATTCTGAACATTTTTGCTCATTGTAATCCTTTTGAATGTCTATTTTCTCTCACTTCTGTATCTTTTTGTCCTACATGCACTGTAGCAACTTGAACTGTTGCACTTAGGTGCACAGTTTTAAGTGAAAACTCAATCAAACTGATGTCACATTTTGATGTTTTAAATACACCTTGAAAAGAAACTGTACACCTTCGAAGCTGTATTTATTTTCCCCTGTTAAAAATGATCCACTGTGTGCAAAACATAGAACTCATGTCTAAAGCACGAATTAAAAAAGGCAATGGATAACACAGTAACTTCCAAATGGCAACCATAAATAGAATTTAACCAACCAAAAAAAACTGAACGCCTTTCACATAGGAGTAAAGAAAAACAGACTTACGCATAAAAGTTTCCATACTGTTGGTCTTAGTTCCTCTGGAACTCCTGACCATGAAAGTTGACGTAATACAGCTATGCAAAGATAACCAAAGAATTTCCAAATTAAAGCTCGATTAAAAAATATACTACTTATGAATTCTTAAGTAATTTTCAAATTCCCATTTAGGCATTTAGAAAAGAAAAAAAAACAAATTAAGCGAAGAAATATATTCATTTTCAATTAGTTCCTTATCTGAGAAGAAGGGCTTTCAAAAGGACTTTCAACACAGCTAAGATATGCTGTATATTCCCTAGCCAACAATTACCTAGTTCAAGAAATGAAGACGAATTGCCTGTTTCGCCTCTTCCATGTGTATTTACCAGTTGAACTGCTCGTGTGGAGCTAGTTATATTGGGCGTACGATCAGGCAAGTTCATCTTTGAATTTCTGAACACCTCCCATCTTGATTTGACAATTTTCTGAATAAAGCTATACACAGCTTAGTACCAGCTCATCACGTCGAAACTGGACATCAAGTCGACTATAACAAAGCTTTTTAATGTTATTAAATCGTATATTACCCGACCGCCCACATGGTCTACGAGCACGACTTTTATATACAGCAGAGGCAATCGGAATTCATCTGAACAAGCTAAATCTGTGTGTTCAAAAGAAATTTGTACAGTCCATTTCTTTGCCATGGCCAACTACATAATATGTATTAAGTTTTTAAAAATCGATTTTCCCCTCCCCTTGTAACTATCTTTTGACTTTTATTTTTCACAATTCTAGCTAATTCTATTAACCTGTTCGTATTTTACGTAGTTCTTCTGAGTCATCCTATTCTTCTTAGTCATCATTATTTTACAAATTTCTTGATTATGTAAGGACTTGTTGCTAACGCCCAAGAATTAACTAATCTTGAAATCCGTAATTAATTTTCACCCCTCCTTCAAAACTTAGATCTACCAGTTAATTGTTTTGACGACTTTTAACCTCTTAATTTCACTCCCCCCTATACCTAAAACTGATTAACTAAAATAACCACTTGATTGGTAAAAAAATTTTGATGTAAAAAATTATTAAGTAGATAGATTCTAAATACAAACATTTCTCTGCAATAGGTGACGACTGACGGGTGAAATGAAAAGTTGGATGAAGGCAAGTTTTGAATTAGTAGTGTCCAGATTATCAACCTAACTGTCGAATATTACCCCCACTCTTTTGTCTGTGTCACCTTCAATGACCCAACATAAGACTGCATTAAAATACAATGCACTTGTAAAATCGATTGACTACAAACACACCCATACTCCTGAGCAATGAGACATACTACCAGGGTGACGCTTACAGGCACTGATTAGCAGCACGAAACTTCGTAGCCAACGCTAGGTCTTAACCAGTAAACTGCAGGCTAGAATTCGACTAAGGGAACCAATGAGCTGAGTTTCTGACATCAGTTAAAACCAATTTTGAACTAAAAGAAATTACAGTACAAAGTAAAAACCGAACAACTCTAGGCAAGAACTTATATTTCTTCAAGATTTCCCTGAAAAGTCTTGACCGAATACCGAAAGCAACAATAACCTATGTGAATTCTTGTTATCAGATGATTGGAGGGAATCGGCAGGAAACCTTGGACCTAGGTTTAGTATTTGTGGGCACCTTAGATTCAGTTGTTAATACAGAAAACAAATTGGTCAATCTTTTCACACCGTTACGCTTAACACTGACACAACCGTAAAGGCAGTTAACAACAAGAAGAGGAATGACACTGACATCAAATAATGTTAATTATTATCAAACACAAAGACTTCGAAATAAAGAGAAGAACAGTTATTCAAAGAGAAAGATCTTAGAATCTAGATAAAGATAATATGAACAGACTTGCGTTACTTTGGTCGATTTGAGTTGTGTCTAAAGCTTCCGACATAACTAAGTGGTTGTATTTTCAAGTGTTACTTTGATTGGTTTCAAGTATGGTCACGGATTTATATCACATGAAGAACCAATCAGGAGTACTGACAGCTGGTTGTCCTAGCTTACAACTCTTCAGCAGTGAGCACGCATGATCCCAATGGGAATCGAACCCAGGAGCTTCAGGTTACGAGGTGAGCTCGCTGACCGTTCATATACTGGAACAGATCTAACAACCCATAAATTCTAACTTCTGTCAATTCATGATTTTTAGCGCCACCACCAGCCAGTGGTTTCTGTCGCAGTGAGTGAATGGTTCATCAGCTCGCCTAGTAACCTGAAAGTACTGGGTTCGATCTCCGGTTGGGTATTAGGCGTGTACTGTTGAGGAGTCCCAAACTAGGAAGAAACGGCTATGCAGCATTCCCTAACTAATATCAATCCGTAGTCACACTTAAAAGCTGACAAGAACTACCTTTCTATCCTAAGACTTAATATCTACATAATATTTATTCTTTTATTTCTCCTCGTTTATAGTGTTATAATCGCATGGCTGAAAGCTGGATCACTTTTCTGATTGCAAAAGAAGCCTTGGAAACTCCATATATCCAGAGAATTCAACATATGTGTCTGACTTTCCTATAACATATTTTACGATGACAGAAAATGCCATTGCATGGATATTCGCAAAATATAAGTCACTAACAACCTTCAGCTTCCTATAATTAATCGTTTTCCTTGCCTTCCATCATGCATATCCTAAATGCAGACTACCTACACTATATACGAACTCCTTAATCTAAAATTGATTGTGTACAGCATACTTTAATAGCTGTCTTTTTTCGTACCTCTGAAACAGAACACACATTTCAGACCTGAATAATAAAGCACCCGTTAGATGAAATAACAAAACGGACTGAATTTAAACGTAAAGTTTTAGAGGTGGTGGTGCATTTCTGTTTTCTTTTTCACATCGCACAGTTGCTTGCCTCACGACTAATGTCCCCTTAATATTGACTAAGCGAGATTTAGACGCACGTCAACAGCGAATTCAATCCGTATCACAAGCCCCGTTGACGAGAAGATGTAGAAAAAACAAATAAGTGGAAATCCACACACTTCAGACTGTGTATTAAATAAAAATTGAACACATTTTCACTGCTACGATTAACTCTAAGCCATATTCTTAATGCTTCAGAAACAGTGGCTATTAGTGTCTCTAAAATGCCATCCATTTATTCCAAACTTAGTTGCTTTAGAGAAAGAATTAGTGACTTCAGAAGTCAGTACTACATCTTAATACAGTTCCTGCTAATTTCCTACTAACCAAATCCTATCCCATAGATGTACTAATGGAAGGTGGGTATTGTACCAGAGCTTAATTCCATCAAAGAAGAAATTAGTTTGATAAAAGCACACAACGATACACTATTATTTGACTGGTTGGAGGATTCCATCACGAGCTGACATCAGTTACAAAACCATTGGAAAACCTGCAGGGAGTACTGGACAGCCGGCCGCTTCGTCCTATTTTGGGGCACTTCAGTAGTGCGCACCCACTGGGGTTCAAACCCAGGACCTAGTATTATTTACCGATAAATATTTCAGAGAGGAACTTTTCAGTCATAATACATGCAATAACACACAATCATAGAGTAGGGTAGGAGAGAGTTACAGTTAGGAAAATAATATAGGTAGGCGGAGGGAGAAGATGACCACTGAATCTTTCTTCGTCAAATCTATACCTAACACGTGCAATAGAAATAACGCAACACCGATACCAGAGATGTGGAAAATTTTACTACTAATAAAATCAAAGGACAAGAAATAATGGAATTATATAGACGAAGTTATGTGAGTACCTTGATATGATCATGAGCTGTAATAAATTGTGTTCGAAACATCATCAGTATATAATACTGTACTGTTTGCTTTTACCAAATCAATTTATCTTGTTATGCTAGTTCTAATCCAGTTAGCACTGTAACTCACAGAAAAAAACAAGGTGAAGATTGAAATATACATTTCTTTTTACGAGTTTCTCCACGGATTGATATCAGTTAGAGAACGGCTGAAAACCAGGAAGTACTGGACAGCTGTTTCATCCTAGTTTGGGAATCATCGGCAGTACGCACCCACCACCAGGGTTCGAACCGAGGACCTTCTGGTTAAAAGGCAAGCTCGTATACCATTCAGTCACCTGGGCCCGATTCAATGGTCTATGAATTCTAACTTCTATCAATTCGTGATTTAGTGCGACCAGCGGCCAGTGTCGTCGGTGGGAAATCCATCCTCACACTTGACTGGATGGACCTCTGATCATGACTTCTCAATGGAACTCCAGGAAACTCCGTCCTGTAGCAAGTCACTAACGAGCATCAGATTGATTTTCAATAGTTGGTTTGTAAGGATTAGATTTGTCTTTACGAGTTTGACCACTGGTGTTCAAACCCCAGTGGGTGTGTACTGCCGATGGTCTCCAGACTAGGATGAAACCGATGTCCAGTACTCCCTGGTTTTCAATGTTTCTCTAACTCATATCAATCCGTGGTCAAACTCCTAAAGACAAATCTAATGCTTACAAACCAGCTCTTGAAAATACATTTCTAGCAACAGAGATGGTTCAAGTTCATAAATCTCTTGAGTGAATGACGGAATCTTTTTTTCATAATTCTGTAACTACCCTACACAACTGCTCCTCGATGACAATGAAGATAGCTACAGTTACTGATATAAGTATAAAACTTGGGCACTGCGGTAGAGTATAACTCCATTACAGATAAGATTTTATTCTGATAAATCACAGTGTTATACAATAATATTAACTGATGACGTTTCAAGTACAAATTATTGCTCATAATCATATCATATCATTGCTCATTATTATGAGCATTGCCAACATTTATCATGTGAACCGGAACACGACAGTCTAATGAACAACTGTGGTGTGAACATTTTCATAAACGTTTAGCATTTATATTATACACTATTCACATCTTTCATTTTTGTTTAAACCAGATTCTATACTGGAATTATAAAACGAATAAAGCCTTTATTGCGGGCCCTCAATATTCCCACTTGATCGGTGAATGTTTGATTAACTCATAAACACTACAACAACCAAATATAATATGAAAGTGAAAAGCTTTCTAATAACCAATTATAAAGTTTCAATAACAACAATTATGTTTAATCGCATACCTAAATCAGTTATGCTTGAGTTGATACATGCTCTGAAACGTTGGATACGACCTTGATCTAATAATTTCTGTTGAGCAACCGGGAAGTCATCAGGACTCGCCCTTAGACGCACGCCCATTCCAGGTGCATGTTTTGGAAACTTTTCAAAAGGGAACACGGTAGGGTTTTTAACTTCGACAGACTCAACCTAAAAACAATCCAAAAACGTGACAAATAATTATATAGGAGGAATGGAGAAAAAAAAGGAAAGCTAGTAAGCTTTGATTAAATAGACGCAAAAAAAATACTTTTATCTTTATCTCACAAAATCATATCTCAAAACATCAACTTATCTACCAATATGAACAAATGTTATGTGAATTTTAAGGCATCTATAAACATGTATATAAGAAGTCAGTCCGTGATATATTAGTGACATACACTCTTACTGTCAACGAGCATGTAGTGCACCTTACACTTTCAAGATTTTGTCTTAACGTATACATACAGGAACAGGCTTAAAGGTCATTTTGCACTCTTACGTTGTGCTTTCAATACGCATATTCGCGAAGTTCGTAATTCAGGTATACCAGTTAGATAAGTCCTAAATCCTTTTCCTTGAATAACCCTCACTTTTTATTTTATTCAAATATTTTGCTCATCAGAGCACATCACTACTTAACGGAGTTTTCTTGATTTATGTTTTACTGCCAGTAATTACAAGTAAAGTACTGATTTATTGGATAATCAGGCAAACTACATTTAGTAAGGACTGATATAGTGTAGCTAACCGACAGCACTACTAGTACCTTAGAAGTATACCAAGTTCTGGAGCAGCACGTCTCAGTCATTGACCACTGTAGGAAGAAAACATTACATGCAAGCAAAATTCATTTGACTGAATTCAATACACACAACTTAAATGTTAACCTAGGATTCTATTTCCTGTGGTAATGAAAGTAGCAGTGGTAGAATGCTCGCCAACCATGAAAGCGTGGTCCGGGGTTCGAATCCCACCTGGAGCATATCTTTACCTCCTCTAACCGATTGTAAGCCCAGAAAAGAGAATGTTGGGCGTAAAGTTTGTGCACCCACCCCGTTAATAACACCATTGCTACTCAAACTTCAAAGCCTAAGCTTCAAGGCTTGTTCCACTCGGAACGCAAAGGAATAAAATAAAACAGTAACATGTCTGCATCTTCTCTACCACATGAAGACGGATAATGCTGAATATGACAGTGACAAAATTAGAACACAAAGAAAGTGAGAGGGAGACATATATGTATCCACACAATTTAAGACTGCCATAAACACAAAGGAAATAAAAAGTTTCACACTATTATATTAGGGACAGTATTGTCGATCCTTAGTTTAAAAAAGGTACCAAATTATAATAAAAACTAATATTAAATGAATGAAATAATGTTTATATGGTCGTGTTCTGGGAGAATGAACCAATAATTTGCAACACTGACTGACTGACTGGTTTCAACATAGAACTTTGCACGGATGTGCAGTAGTTCGAGTTGCCACACTTCCCTTAGAACACAAAGCAAGAGAAAACAGAGATAATAAACAGAAATATGAAGCAAAAAGAATAGTGATATGGAAGAATATTATGTCACAAGGAGTGGATGCATCTCCACCACTCAGGACGATTTTGAGCCATATCACCAATTGTCAACAGCCTCCCGAGAACCCCAACCAGTCAGGAAGTCTACCCCTTCCTACGTGACTTAAGATAACTGTTGTGGATTTCATTGACTGGTGTCATGTTTTGGTTTGATCACCACTGGCTCTTTTCCAACCTGATCCATCCTATGTCAGCTAACATTGCCCGTCGAGCAAGGCGATGGCTAGTCATGCGTAACACATATCCTGACAATCTCAATCGGTGTAACTCCACAGCCTCGTTGATTGATTTCTCCTCCTTACCTAGCACTCCAAGCCTAACCTCAATATAACTCACCCTACTATACCACTTCACAAGGAAGATGGACACCTATGATCAAAGACAGCCAGCCTGCCATGTTTTCTACTTTCAATGGCCAGGTCTCACAGTCATAAAGGAGGACGGGGAGGACTGCTGAGCAGCACATCCGCCCTTTGGTCGACAGCCAACTGGATATCACGTCTACGCCAGAGACGGTGTAAACTGGCATATGCGGAACTAGCCTTCTGCATTCGAGCTGAGATTTCGTCAGTGATCAACCCGTTAGCATTGGCTGATGCTACTTCCCAAATAAGTGAAGCGGTCAACGTGGGCTACCACTTCACTCCCTATTAGTAAGCCAGGATTCAGTGTCGTCCAGTCCTGTAACATCATCTTACATTTAGCGGGAACGAATCACATGCCGAACATTCGTAGATTGCAGCTCAAGGTATTCAGAAGACTTTGCATTTTGTCAGCGTCTTCACCTAGGAGGACTATATCATCTGCATATTCTAAGTTAACGAGATTATCCTCTGGTAACAAGTTAATCCCTGAGTTACTGAAGTCGGTTAGGGTTAATCCCATTAGTACATCTATGATGAAATTAAGTAGAAATGGGGACAGTGGGCTGGTATCCCTGATGGACACCACTAGTTGTCACCACTTCAGAAGGCAACTCTCCGCACGCTCTCACCTGGCTGGCTGCATGAGTTCGAGTATAGTGAGTGCCTTAATCAGTGCAACACAGTTTCTTGGCATTTCACCCTTCACAGCCAAAAATCACCAGACTGTCTCTCAGTCGACAGAATCGAATGGCGCTTTCAGGTCAAGAAATATGACGATTGTTGGCCGCCCGTAAGTATGCCTATGTTCCAGAATCTGTCAAAGGGTGAAGATATGATCAATAAACCCTCTTCCTAGTCGAAAGCCAGCCTGGTTCCCTCGTGTTGGTTCTTTCTGAGAACTGTTAAGTTATTATTATTCAGTCTAGAACTTTAGATCCCATATCAGTCACGCTAATCGCCCTGTGATTATCACAGGAGGACTTGAAACATTTGGTGTTATCTCAATTGCACTCAAAGATGGACTAGTTAATACCAATGTTCTTAGACCGACTGAGTGAAAAACAACGCTAATTTATCAAAAAGCTTTAGTCAAATCTTTCTTTGTTTTCAAGAGAAAGGATGTCAAACAAAAAGCCTGGATATAGACACAGGGTGTAGTTAATTTATGCGTGACTAATTTCAGATGAAATGTCAAGTAATATCAGATAGCCATTAGACTTCGAAAAAGATAAGTTTGAATATGAGGAAAACGAGGTGTTGAAATAGCATAGTCAACACATTGTGTGAAAACATAACGCTAAAACTAACATGTACAAGTGCATAAATTATAAAAAATTTACAAACGAAATCTTGGGCTTGTTTCAGTAATTATTACCACAGAGATTAGAAACAACAAATCGACTTTAAACATACGTTCTTAAGGCTGTCATCCCTCTTCTCAGCGATCGCAGATTCCCTCCTATGCAATTCTAAAACCTTTTCTGCTGTTTTCTGTACAACTAACAGGAAGTAACAAACAAAATTATATTACCCTTAGGGGATATAATGCTTTGATATTCACGATCATCCGCATCCCATACATCCTGACTGTTGATTTGGAACAGAGCGAATCCTTTAGACCCTTTCCCAGACATCACAATTAACAATCAACGAAAATTCGGACAGGGAACTATCGGAACAATTGTCAACGATGCCATCTCATAACGTAGCGTACCCTACGAAATACGCACACATTTAGAATTCAGCATCCTATATCCAATTCATTTTCAGGTTCAGATTCACTTTCTGAGTGAGGCTATAAAATCTAAAGCCCATGACAGTTTTTTGTTTTTACTCTAGTTTCAATACTCTTTCTTATGAATCAACTTGAGGTAAGGACAACACCTGGAAGTTGTTTCCATGTTGACTCGATCCTGCAGCGATATGTTCATCTTTGACTTGCATACTTCCCTGCAGTTTAGTTATTTTAGCGTGGGAAATGAGGGAAGATTAGTCGTGAGCAGCCTGTATACCAAAAATGTGACTGTGTGCTTAAGATAATTAGCTGCAAATGTCTTGTTAAATAACTCCTTTTTTATATAATAATCACTTTATTCCACAACAATAACAATTTACAGCATGGAATTTTCAGCGTTTCATTTTACATATTGCATTGTATGTCTTGTATGTCTATGGAGCTACGGTATAGCTTACCTTTGACTATAAGGGAAGTAACACTGTAGTTTGTGTGATTCAAACGCTTCTGAGAAGTTTCATGAGAGCATACACCCTAGCACGGTTGACTATTGCGGTGATTTCCACATCCCTCATATACAAATTTTGTGTGTGTGAGGCGGAGATAAGAGTGATAAGAATTGTCCCTACTGTGCCAAAGTCAAGATGCCTGCATTGTCTTATTGGCAGCTGTACCAGTTTTATACGATATCTGAAATTTATAGATGGCACTGGTAGACTGTTAGTGTTTTCAGTGGAACAGCAGCATTCAAGCGTGTCTTTGAATTCTGGTAGAGCTTTCTAGAGACCAGCAGTAATGAAGTATTGTTCCCATTCATAGAATCTTAGCAGTGATTTTATGGAAGACTAGTCTGCCTTAGAGTGATTACTACATGCTACCTGTTGTAGAGTAGATGCATTCACTGCACCGCCATTTGAGGGGAAGTGCAGTGCACACAGCACTTTAATTGTGGTCAATCCCAGCACATTACTGTTCACTATATGCTGAAGATTTTCACATCAGTGCAAAAACCTGTGAGAGCCTTGAAGACCTGGATAGTACATTCATACGAGTATAGAATGCTAAAGAGCCACGTAACATGCTTTCCTGCATTTTAGTTTTCAACTTAATAATAAACAAAAAATACATTCCAATTTTAGAGGCATGATCAGTTATGTAATAGATTGCAAACGTCAAGTATCATAAATTAATACTTTTTCAAAAGTTTAAGTTGTTCGATTATTGTACAAACAATCAGAACAGGTTCTTATAAATGCTGAATTGTAAAACCTTCACTAAGGTCACCATCAAGGTTGAGCGACAACCCAAACTTCGTTCCGTTTCATGCTGATAGTTATGGTCAGTCAGCGAACAGCGTATATTTGGGTGAGAATTATGCACTTACGTCATTAAAAGCTATTTGAGGAAGAGAAGAACGTCCAGAGAAATTGCAAAATGGTATAAAATACAATTATGGATAATACATCATTGGAAATACATTTACAAAATATATACAAGAGGGATCTATACATTGACTGAAATGATACCACACATTTGCAATGTTCAATGCTAACCATATTGGTCTTACCATGAAAACTGTGACACTTTCAACGAAAATATAGCTTTGCTCAAACATTGGTGTTGTGTTTTTCATCAAAGCAACCAGACTTTGGGCAAGCAACAAATATGAACAGAGTAAGTCTTAGCTTTAATAAAGGCCTAGGTAGTTAAGACAAAATAGAGTATAATAGTGCGTAACATTGTCGTGAGGCAGATAAGATAAAATTCAGTGAGAAGTGAATTCAAAGATCAGGAAGATTAGAACCCGTAGGACAAGCTGACCTGTAAGATGTCTCACGATTTTCTGTAGGGCCCATCCTGAGAGGAAGATGAGCCGGCTAGTAGATGTTAGGATCAAAAGCATTTTTTATAATTTAGATCTCAACAACCCTGATTGTTCTTTTGTCAAGGATCTAGACCTATGTTTAATTCTCAGGCTCTCAAAAAATGCACTTTGCTGTCCTACAGATTCGATTTGTGACCACCACCATACCTGCTGATCAGCAAGCGCCACCCTCCCTAATACTTTTCAGGTAATTATTATAGTTTCCTTTAGTTCCTAGAGGGACATAGTCCTTTAGCTACACGTCTTCATTGCGTTCTCATCTCCGATAACGTTCCCGCCTGGCTTCATGTCTGCTCACATGCTTTCATGACGCGCCACGTCTTTGGTCTGTATATTAGCACGGAATCCACATGGGAGTTGAAAGTCCGGATTGTTGCTTGTCGTTGATGCAGTTGCTGTTGGCCAGGAATCTTCATCATCCCTGTTTCCTCTATGTTCACCTGAAGGCCTATCTTCTCTGGATGCTTCCTCTGCCAACTTGTTGATTTTCACTTGCATATCTTCCAGTTTGTGGGAAATCAGACGAATACCATCGGCAAAGTCCATATCCTTCAACTATTCTGTGTGTCCATTTTATGCCTGTTTCCTCGCTGCCTGCCGCTGTCTGTGGCGTTATCCAGTCTACCAAAATCAGCAAAAACAATGGAGATAGTAGGCAGCCTTGTCTTACTCCCGTCTTGACTTCGAAGGATTCGGTGAGTTTCTCGTTGTGGATTACTTGGCATGCAGCATTGTCGTACAACCGTTGGATCAGATGTATAATTGTTAGCGGCACCCCGTAGTAGGGAAGTAGTTACTAAATCACCTCTCGGTCGACGCTGTTTGCTCAAGGCCTTTTCACAGTTGACGAAGGGTAGGTGGAGAGCTGACTGCCATTCCAAGCACTGTTCAATAATGATGCGTTTTGGTGCGATTTGATCGATGCCTGACTTGTTTCTGCTGAATCCAGCCTGTTCCGGTAGAAATTTTCCATCCAGGGCGTGTTTGATTCTCTCCAGGATGATGCGACTTACTATTTTACTTGAGATGGACAGGAGCGTAATGCCGAGTCAGTTCTTGCATTTACCTAAGTCTTCTTTCTTTGCCAGTTTGAAAAAGTAGCCTTCCTCCTAATCCTTGCTTTCTTTCCACACCTTTTCCAGTAGAGGTGTCATCTGGTCGGTTGATGTTTCTGGGTCCATTTTCAAGTCCATTGCTGGGATTCCGTCTGCTCTTGCTGCTTCTTCATCTTTTAGAATCCTGAGTGCCCTCCGGATTTTGGTTCTCGTCGGAGGGTTGATGTCCACAGGTAGTTCTGCTCCCACTGTTGGCATTACTGGGCGCGTTCTAAGTGGCGATCGATTTGGGAGTCTTTTGAAGTGTTCAACCCAGTGTTTCCTTTGCTCCACCCCTTTGGTGATTGGCTTACCACTGTCATCCTTCACTGACCTAACTTGTGTTGAAGTTTTCCCCGATAGGAACCCAGTTGTTCGGTAGAGTGTTGCGAGGTCTCCTTTGCCTGCAGCTTGTTCTGCTTCACTTGCCATAGCTTCATAATATTTGGTTTCGTCTTCCCTAGCACTTTTCTTTACTCTTTTGTTCAGTGTATTGTAGCTTGCATTCAACTTCTGTTTTTGTTGCTCGTGGATGTGTAGCACACCTATATTAAGTCTAACTGTACGCTTATAAAACTTATTCATGAACGCATGTTATGCACTTGCAGAGACTAATTTCACTCGTACCGGTTGCATATTTGCCAATTTAATGTTGAATACAGATTTTCGTCTGTTATACATATATCTTACGCGGTTGTGCACTTTTTCGTTCACCTTGCGCTTTTTGAAATTCGATTTCGTTAACAATACGTCTTTTCAAATTCCCACTTGTACTTCTTAACACAGCGTCGTTCGTTGTTGACCATGTATAGCGTTAGAACATAGTGGAACATGAAACATGGGTGTACCATAGCATAGTAATCGGAATCATCTTTGGTACGCCATGGACTCATTGGATAATCTTCTGTTTCACCATCCTTCTTTCTTCTACTAGACTCCATGTGCCTGTAGTGAGCCACTGTTTGTCCTGTCTCTTCTTTCTGCCTAGAGCTTCTATGTAGTTTCAAGTTCACACAACTTTTAGGTTGCTCTAGTGCTTTTCAACTCTGTCTCTTCGCTAGTGCTGGTTTGTGTCTCCGCCTTTTTACTTATGACTGCAGTGAAGATTTCCTTTGTACCCGATCCTTCAGATTTTGAGCATTGAAATTAGCTTGAGGCCTATCTGCAGCTCATGTTTTTTGGGAGTTTTTAATTTTGTTTGAAGTGTTCCTTGCACGAGATAGTAGTCTGAGCCAACGCCTTCTCCTCTTCTTACCGTTGTGTCCAGTAAGATGAGTCCCCACTTCCTTAAGCAGCATTGGAATGAAGTCAACTTGGTTTTGGGTTCGCCTGGCTAATGACGCCCATGTAGCCTTGCGGATATCCTTTTGGTTGTATACGCTGCCACCAATCACTAGTTCATTGAAGGCGCAGAAGTCAGCGAAGACTTCTCCGTTTCCAATCATCTCTACAAATGTTCTCCCATTGCATATGCTTTCACATATTCTGAGTACTTCAATACCATCTCTTTTCATCTCATTTGCAATCTGGGCAGTCTTTCCAGTCTCATACATAGTGCATACGTTCCATGTCTCCTCACATACAGCTTCTTTTGTCGCAAGGAGGCTCGTCCTACTTAAGTTTCCGTGGCAGCTTTGTTTACAGAATGGGGTTGCTAGCCTCACGCCTGATTAGGAAGTTGTTACATGGGGATGTAAGTTTCGGAGGAGCGACTTTTTATGTTGCTCCTTTTAGAATCAAGAAAATAGGGAATGAAGCAGTTAGAACAACAACGGCAAAAAAATCACAAAACGATGAGCAGAGACAACGAGAAGGACCATGGCAGTTATATCATTGTTAAATATAATAACCAAAAATGTTACGTAACCACAGACTCACTGACTTGGATCAACTTGGGCATGTTAATCCAATAATATTTGCGGTTTTACATATTAGCTAGAGTTAAATAGTCAAATATGGCGAACAGTTAGTTAAAGGTGTGGTGAGTGCTGTCTGCTAGTCAAAATTGTGGACAGCAATTTACGTCAATGT